TTTTTTGTTGTTGTTGTTGGTTTTTTTGAATTTCTTATTCCAGACATTTTACTTATTTTTTCTTGTAGGGGTGGGGTCTTGCTATGTTGCCCAGGCTGGTTTCAAACTCCTGGCCTCAAGCGATCCTCCCGCCTCGGCCTCCCAAAGCGCTGGGATGACAGGCACGTGGCACCATGCCCTGCTGACAGTGGTTCAAAGCACATGTTTTAGCTCTGGGCAGGTGGCCTGGAGGGACCCAACCCCAGCCCCTGTGCTCCATGCACCATGCCAAGTGCCCGCACGGCCCCACTTACCTGCTCTCCCCAGCCTTCCAGGGAGGCAGAGCAAAGGCAACAGAGGGGTCACCCATCACCTCTACACTCGAGTGGCTTCCACACCCAGGGTGGTCAGTGCAGCGGCCATGGCTTGGAACGCGGCCCTTGACTTTGGCCCATCCCCAGCCCTCCGACCCGGCTAAATCTGCAAATCTGGCGGGAGCGTCCCCCGAGGGCCCTGGCATTCCCTGAATGGCAGGTCCTCTCTGTCTGTGCCTTGGACGCAGCACTGAGCGCCTGGGGAAGATGGCTCCTCTCTGTGCCTCGCTGGCCTCAGGATCAAAGCCTTTCTGCACTTACTTCTTGCTTTCATAGAAAGCAATGATGTCCTCAAAAGCGTTAATATCGAACTCCTCAGAGCCGTCAAATGAGAAATCTAGCATTGAGCAGCTGAAAGGGAGAATCTGTATAAACTTAACATGTTCCTGGGGTGGGACCCGCAGCCCTGTGGCCAGGCCCTGGGGAGACGGATGCTGCTTCTGCTACTGCAGGTCAGAAGTCACTTTGTCTTTAGGGTAAGGGAGGCAAGGAGAAAAAAAAAAAAAAAAAAAAAAACGAGGACTGGGTGTGGAGGCTCGTGCCTGTAATTCCATCACTTTGGGAGGCTGAGGTGGGAGGATGGCTTGAGGCCAGGAGTTCAAGACTAGCCTGGGCAACATAATCAGACCCCATCTTTATAAAAGAAAAAACCAGCCAGGCGTGGTGGCTTGTGCCTGTGGTTCCAGCTACTTGGAGGCTGAGATGGGAGGACTGCTTGAGCCCCGGAGGTCGAGGCTGCAGTGAGCTGTGATTATATCACTGGAATGGAAGCTTTCTAGCTGTTGGGAACTTGGGGGTTTAAAAAAAAACAGAGGAGTGCATTCTCCTTTCTTATGTCCCATTTTGGGTGAAAAAGGCAATTCTAAAAACTTTTTTTTTTTTTTTTGAGACAGCGTCTCGCTCTGTCAGCCAGGCTGGAGTACAGTGGTGTGATCTGATCTCGGCTTATTGAAACCTCTGCCTCCCGGGTTCAAGTGATTCTCTTGCCTCAGCCTCTCCAGTAGCTGGGATTACAGGCACCCGCCACCCTGCCTGGCTAGTTTTTGTATTTTTAGTAGACGATGTTTTGCCATGTTGGCCAGCCTGGTCTTGAACTCCTGATCTCAGGTGATCTGCCTGCCTTGGCCTCCCAAAGTGCTGGATTACGGGTGTGCACCATCATGTCCGGCTAGCCTGCTCACTTTTCTGCCCTGGTGCTGGCACATGCTTGGGTGCGCGCAGGGCCCGTGGTCATTGCTAGGGTCCACAGAAGACCCCGTGTCATCTCATGCGCAACACCGGAGGGTATGTTTCTGTCTGTAAATGAAGTAACTTGGCAGAACTACTTTCAGGGCGTCCTGGGCAGGATGGGGGAGGAACTCTCCGATCAATCAAGCCCGTCTCTGTACCACCAGCAATGCCTGGGCCCCACCTCCGAGTGCCCACCCTAGGCCATAAAATGGATCCTTTGTAAACTGAGCCCCCTCCCATCTCCCTGAAGCGCATCATGCACCGAGGCCTGCTATTCTGTGTCCAGAAAAGCAGAACCATCCAGTGCTGCTTGGTCCTGGGTCTTTCTGGTTCAAACGGCCACTCAGTGACTGATTCAGATATTCGCAGCAACCTTAACCTGGCTTTAGAACGTAGAAACCCCTGAGTTATTTGAAGCAATGCTGCTGCCTAACCATTTCAGTTTGGACGAATCAGGGTCTTGCTCACCGGTAAAGTTTTTCCGAAGGGGTGTTGGCTCCTCTTGGCAGCTCTTCCGCGTGACTTCGGGTACCAGGGCTGCTCATACCTGCTGGGGACACAGAGCGGATGGTGGTAGGGATGGCCTCCTGCAGAGGCCGCAACCATTTTAACCCATTTTATTTATTTATTTGAGACGGAGTCTCGCTCTGTCACTCAGGCTGGAACGCAGTGATGTGATCTCGGCTCACTGCAACCTCCACCTCCCAAGTTCACACGATTCTCCTGTCTCAGCCTCCTGAGTAGCTTGCACTACAGGCCACTGTGCCCGGCTGAGTTTTGCATTTTTAGTAGAGACAGGGTTTCACCATGTTGGCCAGGCTGGTCTTGAACTCCTGACCTCAGGTGATCCGCCCACCTTGGCCTCCCAAAGTGCTGGGATTAC